CGTTACCCTCACCATTCTGACGGGTCTACCGCGTGATACGGCAGACCCTAACACGAGAACCGCTGAGTTACCACCGCTCCTAACAACGGGTCTGAAACTAGCAACAACAACTTGCCAGGAATGTCTGACAACTGGGTAACAAATCATTTATTTAACAAGCGGCCTCGTAACACAAACAAAGTGAAACTGAACCCTGACCTTGACTTTATCCGAGTACTTTCTAGAAGAAAATACACCAGCGAGACGTCAAACAAGGGAGAGCATCGCAGTTTTCAGGAACTCTAAAAAAAAAAACCTTTATTTTAAGACACAACAGAGGTCTATGGTCGGCCTATGTGTGGTCCCCTGGCTAAATTTGTTTGCTCACCGTGGGCTTCAATAATATATTAACATTTCGAAACGTTTGTATCATTATTCTAGGGGGTGGCAATGTTGATCGTTCTAGATTCACGCGAAGAAAGTTCTTTAGGAAAGTTGTCCGTAATGCTCAACAAAATCAAGACAGTAGAGTCTAGTTTTTGAGTATCGTTGATTGGTTCGATAAATACAATTGATGGCATCAATTATTTGAAATAAATTTGTAAAAAATAAATGAATTTGACTTTGTGCCAATAAGAAAGAAAGTTTTCGACGCTATTTGAAAAAAAAAAAACAATCAATATTGAATTATTATAAGGTGGATTTGTGGAAATTGTTTAATCGGGTATTAGGGTTGAGATGTGGTGTTGTATGTCAGTGGACCTGGTGACTCTCTACACAGTGACGCCTCGTTAAAATCACGGCGTAATTTAGTGACGCTTCTCCACAGTGACGCTTCTCGACAGTCACGCAACAGCACAGTGACGTCTCTAGAAAATAACGCCTCAACACAGTGGCGCTTATAAAGAGTGACGCCCGAACACGGTGACGCCTCTTGAAAGTCACGTTTCAATAAAGCGAGGCCTCCAGAAAATGACGCCTAAAGACAATGACGCCTCCAGAAAATGACGCCTAAAGACAATGACGTCTCCAGAAAATGACGCCTAAAGACATTGACGCCCAAACACAGTGACGCTCCAACACATTGACGCTCCAACATCGTGACGCCCCAAACACAGTGACGCTCCAACACATTGACGCTCCAACATCGTGACGCCCTAAACAAAGTGACGCCCCAACACAGTGACGCCCCAAAACAGCGACGCTCCAACACACTGACGCCCCAACAGTGACGCCCCAACAGTGACGCCCAAAAACATTGACACCTCAACACAGTGACGCCCAACATCGTGACGCCCCAACACAGTGACGCCCCAACACAGTGACGCCCCAACACACTGACGCCCCAACAGTGACGCCCCCACACACTGACGCCCCAACACAGTGACGCCCCAACATCTTGACGCCCCAACACACTGACGCCCCAACACAGTGACGCCCCAACACACTGACGCCCCAACACAATGACGCCCCAACATCGTGACGCCTCAACACAGTGACGCCCCAACAAACTGACGCCCCAACAGTGACGCCCCCACACAGTGACGCCCCAAAATCCTGACGCCCCAACACAGTGACGCCCCAACATCGTGACGCCCAACATCGTGACGCCCCAACACAGTGACGCCCCAACACAGTGACGCCCCACACACTGACGCCCCAACAGTGACGCCCCAACCCAATGACGCCTCTATACAAAGATGCCATCTCCGACTCCCTGGAAGCCGGTGTCAGCGAACCACATCCCAGCGGGACAACAGCTGGCGTAATGTAATCACTGGAGAGGAATTTTATCTGTCCTTGTGATGCTGTAATGTTTATTTTACTTCCCCCAAATAAGCTTCTTGTCTACCAGTGGTTGGGGGGCTCGGGTTAAGTCATCACGCATTACGCTGCACTCGGAGAGTAGCGCTGTGTCGCAGAACTTTAAAATTCTAGACAATCTCAACATTAGAATTGGCTTGTTTCTTCATATACCCAGGGGTGGACTGGTTCGCAGGTCTACATGGAAAAATCATGCCCCAACCCCCCTCCTCAGGAATAAAAAAAATCTTTGGTCCCCCCCCCCACCCCAAAAAAAACAACAACAACAAACAAACAACGGTGCTGTGATTAGTGTTAAGATTTTAAAAAATAAATAATGTGTTGGTATTTCTCCGTTTTACCATTTCCATTTCTATATGCCAAGGCGTAAAATTCAGGCTTTGATGAGTAAATTATGCACAATGAAAATTTGAATCTGAGGTTAATGGGGGCCCCTTTTGAAATTGCCTAAGCCTCTTGGAAACATAAAACCAACCCCTGTGTATACTCCCAATGTAAAGCAATACACACGCGGACATATTTATCTGATGTAGAAAAATATTAATGAAGCTGGCCGCTTATTAACCAACTGACACAATAGACCAAGTCCATGTTAAGAACATGGATCACTTGTGTGAGGGACAATCTATCTCTCTCACACACACACGCTGTGTCTCTCCTTCTCCGTGCATATCTGTTTCACCTCGCAAGGGAATTTACTCACAAGCATAAAAAAGCTAAGCATACAGAGTTATCTAGAGAGCATTAGGTTAGCGGGTTATGTAAGCAGTAGAGCGTCTATGGTACGACAATAGGGGCAAATTATTCTGCTGTCTGTTTGTGAGTGCTCTTCATCTAGCTTGTTTGTTGGTATGCAAGTGTTGAATGATGATGATGGTGAAGATGATAACAATAGTGATTCTTTGATAATAATAATAATAGTATAATAAAACAACAGTAAAATCAGCAATCCTAATCCTAATCCTAATCATCACATAATTGACAATAATAATATTAATATTAATATTGATAATGATAATAATAATAATAATAATAATGATAATAATAATAATAATAATAATAATAATAATAATAATAATAATAATAATAATAATAATAATAATAATAATAATAATAATAATAATAATAATAATAATAATAATAATAATAATAATAATAATAATAATAATAATAATAATAATAATAATAAAGAACGTTAATGATAAAAATCATGTAATAGACTAAATCTGTATTTGATTATATATATGTAATGTCTTCCCAGCATCTTTCGTCAATTAGACTTGCACTGAGCAGTGTGGTTTAGTCAGTGTAGCATTTTATCTTAAACAATGGCTAGATTAATTTTTACACGGGGAATAACTGGCCAATAGTGATTGATACTCCCCAGTCACGTGGTATAAGGGAGTTGTTTAATAGAGGGTTTTTTAGCTTGGATGTCTCCAAAGACAAAAAGCTTCGAATGCGTATAGACCACTGAACCAAGCATACGAGTAAAAACCTGCCTCTGTAGAATACTGGTACACGATTCGCTCTCATTTATTCTGATTACATAATTATAATTACCACCCCATGATTAAACAAGGTTCTCTATCCTTTATTTTGGTTACGTGATTATAGTTAACTCCTCTCGATTATCTCAATCAAAGATATCACATTTTAATTTAATAATCCACGAAATTATAAACTAGAAGGGGGCTAGTGGCTGATTATTAACTTAAGTCTGAGCCTTACATGTTCGTTACTCAGCAAAATAAAATAACCCCGCTAAGCAGAATTATGCCCCCTCACCTGCAGACGTAAAGTACCTGTCTGGAAAACTTTAAAAAAAAAACCCACGGTGCGTGGAATTTCACGTGCGCGATGTCTATCGGAAGAAAATAGTTTCCATCTAGTTTGATACCATTCGGTTACTTGACATCGACTCGCCTAGTCCAGCACCCAATGGGGCGGTATCACGTGATCTGGTTACGAGATTGTTCGAGACAGAGCAGACGGTAAACTATTGAAGGTGATTTATTATCCAGGTTGGGTTCACGGTGAAAAAAAAATACATCAGCCAACAGGTGGGTTCTTGTTTTGAAATATTCCGAGAATTTAAAAAAAAAAAAAAAAACTTCCCTTCGGCGTCTCACCCCCCCCCCCCCTCCCACCAATTAGCAGGGGGGGGGGGGGGAATTTAACAAAAAGTTAATGAAAGAAGAACTGCCCAATTTGGCCGAGGACCAAAACGAACTCTATAGACATGTGACACGCGTTTCAGCGCAACTATTTCAATAGGACATTTCAAACAAACGCCGACGGCACTGTTATTGTAGCGCTCATTCTCCGCGCTATTTCGGGGTAAACTCGAACTATTTTTAAGTGTATTCGCGATAAGCTGCGAAGAATTAACGGACCTTTTATGTAATTGAAAGGATTAGCCAAGACAAATGTTGTTTCTCTCAATAATCGGCATCTTTGATAGAACTGTGGTGCTAAGCAGTTGTCCACAGAGACCCCTGGGGGAGGGGGGGGGGGTCAGAAACTTTAAAACAACGCATGCTTTACATTCTAACGGGCAGGCACAAATTGGAAGCGGAAAAAAAAGTTGACTCCTATGGTTGGAGTAGAAAATGTTGACTTCGATGTGAAATGGTTAACTTTATTTAAAGTTAACTTCATTATTTGAGCGAAAGGGTTAGCTTCAACAATGGGAAAATCAAATATTAACCTCAATATTTGGGTAATTGATGCTAATTTGAAGGAGAAATAGTTAATTTTAAAGCTTGTTAAAGTAAATAAAGGAGGAAGCAAGAGTACAAAATAATTTACTCTGTTAAATTAGATGCTGATTTTTTATACAAAAATGACAAAATTTGAAACAGATATTATCATATTTAGGAAAAGCTACCTTTTTTTTTTAAAGAAAGGAAGATTTCAAAAATCGTTGAAGTGTTTAAAATTGCTATAATTAGCTATATTAGATGAGCATTTTTTTAAATTAAAGTTAATGAAAAATGACACACTGCTATTTGTAATTAGAGGTTATTATATAAAATTTAGCTGCATCTGATCAAGTGAAGCTTTAATCGTTTAATTATAATTTGAAATCAAAGAGACGTTTTTTTAAAAAAAAATCTGAAAGAAAAAACAACTCACTAGAATTCATGCGAACAAATGAGAATACAATGTTCGACGCATGCGCAGAAGGTACTTACCACCGACATCAGGGTGAGCACGTAGTGCTTCAAGTCCTCCCCGTGGTGCTGATACATCTTGGAGTCGGCCACCACCAGGGTCTCCACCGTGTGCTTCTCTGAGATGCCCACCGACCTCTTTCTGCGTCCTCTGGCATTTTTTCCTCCATTTTTCCAGACGCGGTCGCCTTGACCTTTGCCTCTGTTCTTATATTGTTCATATTTGGTACTATATACACGATTGTTTAATATGGCTAGTTTTTCTAGCAGGGGCTTTAATCGGTGATGTTTGAAATTTTCTGAAGCGGGGAGGAAAAAAAAATACAGTACACATTAAATCAAGCTACAGGTAATTTATAAGCTAAACAAACTGAATTCAAGTTGGAACTCTAACTTCTCTTGGAATTCAGCTTCAATCTACTGAGTTGTTGCTATTTTTTTTTCTAACGATGACATTAGTTCGAAGACTCAGTTAGGACGTTATATAATTTTTTTTACGTGGAGTTTGGAAATCAATTATAGAATTAGCGTGCAATGATGGAAATCCGATAGCTATAATTATCTACAATTAGACGGCAGTTAGAATAACAAAACAATTTTCGGCTTATTTTATCAGATTAGGCGCTTCTTAATGCATTCGTAAAACAAATGTATGACCTCCCCCCCCCCCCTACACACATTCATTAGTAAAAGTAAGGTTCCCTTTTCTACACTGACAATCCATGGGGAAAGTGAAGTAGAGTTTACCTGTTTCTGTGACCTCGGCATAGGAAGAGATAGTGTAAGCACTAGGCCCATCCGTCTTTACTTTCCCTAACGTGAGGTACCCATTAGAGCCCCCCCCCCCCCTCTGATATCACTCATACTACAAAAGCCGCCCATAAGCCCACTTTCAAAGAAATAGTATTATATACAATATACCAGTATATACCAGATTGCAGGGCAATAGTTGACAAGAAACCCAACCTCTACCCGAGTTAGAAGCCCACGAATAACAGAGCGGTCGATGAATTACTTACCAGTAATACTACAATTGGATGGACTATGTGCGTTTTGTGCAGACAGTTTACTGATGGTGTGCGTCTTCTGCTGCAGCGAGTACAGAGCGAACACGGACGGCACCTTGCTGGCGTTGGCACCGGATGTGGACGGTACGGAGACGTTCTTGACCGGCTCTATGATGAACTTGTCTCCTTGCAGCTGGATCACGCCTCTCTGGGAAGACAGAGAATTTATGTATGATTTTAAACTACGTGAAGACAGACAATTTATGTTTGGTTTTAAACTACGTGAAGACAGAGAATTTATGTTAAATTTTGAACTACGTTACTTTATATGTGCTGATACTTCTGAATGAATTTTAAAGCAACTTGTGTATTCTAGTTTAATTGTGGGACTTGATTTATTATGATACTGTTTTTTTTTTTTAAAGTATGTGAATTGGAATGTAATTGAGTGTGGCGATTTAGATGTTTCAGATTATTTAAAACGACATGTGTATTGTAATCGGCTTAGGTGTGTGACTTGAGTTGTATAAGGACAAGAGCTTGGTGTTCTGGACTTATAAGTTGAGGGTTCAAAACCTTGTTGATATACAGCGTGGTATGGAAAGAAATTCAAGTAGAAAATGAGTTGTAAGTCGTGGTAATCATCAGATGTAAGAAAGAAAGTAGAATACGTTTTAAACTGGGAAGATATCAAATGCTGAATTTCTTTTAGTCTTTCTGCTCTCATTGGACGTAATGGGGTACTCGAATGACAGAAAATTATTGATTTTAAAGCAACTTGAAAACAAAAAACAACAACAAAAAACAAGCCAAACAATTTTCTTAAAATTCAAGATTTAGTTCTTAGTTCCCAAATATTTCGACTCCATATTCTGTTTAAAATTAGTCATTTATTTGTAACTTACACCAACTTTACTTGAAAAATGTCTAGTACCCCAACACTAAAAACACCGCCGTAAAGCCATGAGTCGAATAAAAAAAACGTCCGTCCGGAAAATGCCGTTATCTGAGATACATAAAACTTTTGATTTACTGCAAATAGTAGCACGAATAACAGAGGTGGAAATGTGGAGATTACAGGCAATTTACTGCTGGCTCGCCTTGCAAATCATTGGTAAAACGATTAGACAAGGTATTCCAGCTCATCTAGCATCAGCCCTTACTGACTATTTTATTACGCCTCCATCTTTTGGTAGCTTGAATCTGCTGTGACTGTATGTACGGATTTCCCACGCTATGTGCTAAACTAAACCTACATTTTTTTTTATCCCTGTAAAACTTTCTGATTAAGAAGGATTAAAAATAAACCTCTCATTGGAGTATATTATTACAAAACGAATAAAAAGATAACAAAAAAGGAATAAAAAATCCCATCTGAACGAAACAATTTTCCCACCACTGGCCTAAATGTATTTTAATGGCATCCTATTAGCCTTTAATATCTTTCACTATCTGCCCCTAGTCAGCCAATTACACTTCGGAGTGACGTCTGATAAAAATCGCAATTTTTTTTTAAAATCCCACAAATCCTCCGATAAAATCTCCAGACGACATACTGTCCGGCAAACGAGCCATACCTGGATGGTGATTTTTCTAATTTATTCTTAGCATTTTAATTAGGGGTCAGCCATTGTGTGGCCTATCCAACTGAATCCGAAAACATATTTTTAAAAATTATTTTATAAGTTGTCTTGGAAGTCTGTTACCCCCCCCCCCCCCCCCATTCAATAGCTACTTAAAACACAATATCTTTTAAAACCCATAGTTCTCTTAATTGTATTAAAATTTTATGTTGTCTATAACAAACTTTCTCGGCGTTCCTTATTACATTTTACATTATTGGTCACCCTCGTATAATTCTTTTGATTCTTGTATTAAACTGTTTTGTCAAGCGATTCAGACAAGAGTTTCAGGCATCTTTTCAGGATTGTGTGTGTGGGGGGGGGGGGGGGGGGGGGAGAAGGGTGTGGGGATTGCCCCTTCACTTCCCGAGCACGTTATCCCCCGGAAATTTCAAATGTGGCCCCGGGGAGAAACATGCCTGAAAGAAACCCCGCTTCAAACGATTCAGTATTTAACTGTACTATATATTTCACATTTTTCAAAAGTTTCAGGTTAATATTTCATTAAAATAAAAAAATCTCAGCTTGGTATTCGCCATCTCTAGACAGCTAGACTCCCCTCAACGAATCACACCAATGGTGACTATGATAAAACTAATAGATTACCGTTAGACTATAAGACCAGCCCCCCCCCCCTCCAACTCCCTCATAGCAGGATCGTTGATCCTCGGTTTAATGGGGTTTGTTATTTCATTGACGGGGCCCTCGTGTGGCGCATGGGAGATCTCGATTACAGAGATAACTCAACTGCTAATATAGTGGTTATCTCGCTTGTGTCGTCGTTATATCAGTCCTACTGTTCCATAGGATGAAGTTGTTGATGACTGGTAGCTATCACTGGTATACTGGTATACTGGAACTCTTTATATATATATATATATATATATATATATATATATATATATATATATATATAATTTGCGTGTTATATATTTTAATAGGTTACGTTCAGTGTTTCAGACTTTTTTCTCATGGGGGGGGGGGGGGGGGGGGGGGCAACTTGAGAATTTAGGGGCGGACTCGTTCGGCGTGAGTGGGGCAGTATACGAACAGATGCCCGGAAGAAACTCTGAATACGTTTATTAAAATTTAATTAAACGTAGTTTACGGACCCGCACACAAACACACATACCGACGCATACGCACGCAAGTATGACTGTAAACAAGCGTTACTATTTCCTAATGTAAAAAGTCCACACACAAAAAAAAAAAAAAAAAAAAAAAAGTCGAATGAAGATTTCCTACCCCGTGGTTCCCCTCTTTAAATTGGACTACGATAAAAAGGGGAGATAAAGAAAGCTGATCCTATTTACCTGAACTGGGGCGCCAGCTGAGGGGAAACAAATCGGCCATAAGTTAATGAATCAAACAAAAATTCCGGAAATATCATCATTCTAGCGTAATGTGTTTGGGTTAGGCCGTGACCGCTTCGGAGAATGGCGTATCTCTTGTTTATCAGCCGGGGGTAGTGGCACAACAGAGGTCCTTGACCTCTGGGACTTCCGGGTAAACGCGATAGTGGCGTATATCGTATTTGAATGTGGAGTTGGTAATGGTGAGGTTAGACGTTGTCAAGTCAAGTTTTCAGTTAGGATCTGACAATCCATGGGGTAGGTGAAGTAGAGTTCATGTTTCTTGCCCAGCCGACATTACTTTTTCCGAACGCGAGTCAGGTACCAATCAGAGCTGGGTGGACTCAGGGACTTTTGAATTAGCAGTCAAGCTCTCTACCACCCTGCCACAAAGTCCCCTACCCCGGTATTTACAAGTGAGAAAAGTAATATAGGTTGACAGTATTGACAGATTACTAGTCCGTAGAACGTCGTTGAGTGTGCTCCCAGCCCTAATGGGTACCTGACTCCATTAAGAGAAAGTAAAGATGGCTGGTAATAGTACTGACCACACTACTCCTTTATATTCCAAAGTCACAAAAAAAACAGGTTAATTCTGCTTCACCTGCCCCACAGATCACCAGGTTCGAACAGGTAAATTTTCTCAGGTTTTTGAAAACAACATTCGAGTTATTTCGAAATACTTATTATTTACTGTTTTAAGTTATCTAATTGAATTTAGTTAAGTGAGGGTTACAAAAAATTACAGGAAAATGAACACCTTACAAAGCTATTACCTCACAATTAAATTAATTCATTTAACAATATTTACTCCCCCCCCCCCAGATTTTTCTAACGTGAAACACATTTTCTGTCTATCGAGGTGAAGATTCCCATTCCCCTTTCAAAGTGCGAAATCTCAGGAATCTTTAAAACGTCGAATGTTTGTTTCCCAACGACACAATTAACCCATTACGTCTTCAGCTTTTAGCGTCATGGCGGAGACTTCAATACCACAGGTTTGCGTTCAACGTAACATAACGATAGCTGCCAGAGGACGAGTGTTGTCTGTGAAAACACGGGGCGCTGCCTGGGTGGTAGGGCGCTTCTTGGCGTATTCATGGTCAAATACGTTCAATGTTTTGGTGTTTGTCGACATAAACTCTTACACTCTGATTGTATGTGTGGTGTCATTGGTGTTGTATTTGACACTCTGATTGTGGGTATGATGTCAGTTGAATTGTATTTGACACTCTGATTGTAGGTATGATGTCAGTTGAATTGTATTTGACACTCTGATTTTGGGTGAGATGTCACTTGAATTGTATTTGACACTCTGATTGTAGGTATGATGTCAGTTGAATTGTATTTGACACTCTGATTGTGAGTTTGACACTCTGATTGTACGTGTGGGGTGAGTTCAATGGTCAGTGCAGGAGAAAAAAAATATTTAATTGAAATCTGAATTCTCCACGTCCAAATAAAAATATGAAGTCAGAAAGTGCTACACGATGTAACAGTATAATATTACTTAAGTACAGAAAGAAATAACCTTAAACAAATATACACCTTAAAAGCCTGATTTTTCTCAACACCACTCCCGCCCCCTAGCCTCAAATTAACTCCATTGTGATAAAAAAAACACCAACGTCTAATTTTAGCACCCATAAAGAACTGAAATAAAAGTCAGGTGCGACCAGAAAAAAAAATGTATAGAAAGAGTCACGTTGCGAGAGATTTACTGTAATGGTATGGGGGTGGTTAACTAATAGTACCTTCACGTAGCTGATTCACATGTAGCGCTTCGTTTACGGCAAGGGACACTACAAGGCTAGTTACTGTGCGCGTTTGCGTCTCGCAACAAAACGGTCTTGCTTTTTAAAGAGTTGTTTAAAATAGTTGATAAATCGTCAAGGGACATTACATGGCTAGTTTTATAGGAATCTGTACGTCCTGGGAACAATCCCCGAACCATTCTGGAATGTCGTAGCAAAGCTGTCCTGTTATTTAGAGAGTTAGTTACAATAGTTGATAAAAGGACAAGGGACATTACAAGGCTAGTTTTATAGGAATCTGTGCACCCTGGGAACACTTGCGTCTCCGAGCCATTTAGGAATATCGTAGCAAACCATTTAGGAATATCGTAGCGAAAGCTGTACTGTTACAATAGTTGATAAATCTGTCTTGATATTTCAGAGCAATTTTGACTAGTGGATAAAAATGCCTTAATTTTCGGAGCTAGTTTCATTTGTTGA